CCCAGAAGAGGGAGCTCGGAGTTTAAAGGTTCTGAAAAGGGAGAAACAAAACGTAGAGGGCTAGAGACTCGTGGCGGAGAACTTAATCTCACGGTTTTAAGTCTCTCGCTTGATAGATTATCAGAATCTGGAGCCTTCCTCTTTGTACAAGGAGAGGAGGTTATTTCTCCCTCACACCCTGGTTCGGAAGGGCAAATTGCGGTGGCAACTGGAGGGTCGTTAAGGATCTCGGCTCCATGAGTATCCACCGCGGCTGACAGGGCTGCTTCTAATGAACCATCATCAACCAAGAGGGTCTTCCTGTGGAAGTTACCAACCCTGGAGATTGCAGCTATCCGTTTCTTTCTCCCGATTTCGGATAGCTGATCCTTAAGAGCCTTGATTTCAGCCTGCATCTTTGTTTTATCTCGGGCATTCAGGCTCGAGACGTCTTTCTCCTCGGGGGGAGGATCGAGGGGGTGAGTCTGACCGTCTTTAATGGCGAGCCCCGCTTTATGAATGCGTTGAAGGGTGAAGGAATTCCAATTTGTTTCACCCTCGGAAACTATTCGAAAGAAGGACAAGAAGTCAACGGTTGGGCGGGGGATCGTCTGGTTCCCTGAAACAAAGTATTGGGTTAAGAATTCCATCTCTTTTGCTTAATACAGTAGAAAGTAGTAAAGGTTGGATTTTTAACCAAGTTTAGCCGACCAATTGGCGAGAAGAAGATCGGAAAGACCTTGAACGGAATGGGGATTAACTCGGAAAAAGAACCAGTATTTCCTCCAAAGCCCATCATTCGAGGGCATTCCGTCGATCAAGTTACGGTCAAGGATAGGGTTTATAGAAAAAATACCCGCTGCTGCGGATTCACGGGCTCGAAATAGTCCTAAGAGTTCGCTGGTGGAGAGGGAAAACCCTGCTTCTGCCGAAACGGTCAGGGTACTCAGAACGTATCGAAGAAAGTTGGGAGCCATTTGGGGAAAGGCAATCCCTAGGTGGAGGAGGTATAAAAGAAGAACTTCCAGAACGGGAAAAAACAAACCACAACCTTTGAAATATACTTCGTACGCACAACAGTAACCCTCTCGCACCACTTCTGGAGACTCGTTGGGTCTAGGAAGAGAGAATTCAATTTCATGGGGGATGTTACAAAGGCGGCGAAGAGAGCCAAGGGAAGCAGAGGTCGACTGAGACCTGAAATGCGGACCAAATTTGTCTCCCCTTTGGGTGAAGACTTCATCCCCTCTGGGAACAGGGATTCCTTAACTGTCATCTTCGTTTTCCGAAACATAGACGGCTGGGGAAGACATCTTTTACTAAGAGGTTTCTCTTTTTCTGGTTCGGTAAAAGCTTTAGGGGTAAATGCACGCTGCTATAAAAGCCGTCGTTCCATTTAACCTTATTTAGCGAAAAACCGCCTCGAGAATATTGGGAAGTGGGACAGTTTTCCCCGTGGTATTAATATAAAATTAAGAAATTAATGATGATGATTGTCAAGGAAATCAAATCATCTGATTATCCGAGATCAGCGTAATAGCAAAAAACATGGAATAATTTCGGAATGTTAAAGATCTCGAGTCATTAATTACAGTTTACTTAAGTCTTCCAAGCCGAGCACTCAGCTCGCAAGACTTGGGGGGCTAAATGTTGGGCTCGGTTCCCACACATCTTCGGTAGGATCCACTTGGATCTGTCCACGTCATTATTACATAATAATCCTCTTAGATTTCTAGATGTTTCATTGCGAGAATCGAACTCGACCTGTCGGAAGTTCGATTCAGTTTATTAAAGAGCTCGATCTTTACCAGTACGGAGTTCACTCTTATTCAACATACAGTTCGCATAAAGGAAGGCCGAAACGAGGAGAATATTGTTCGAGGTTCGCGGCAGCGTCAAGACGCAGGAGTTCGGAGTCAACAAGAAAGAGTTCGGAAGATCCACGCGAAGCCCAAGATAGTTCAAATTCAAGCCATTTCGGTCAAATTGTAACCTACATGATTAATGCGGATCAATGCAATTATGAGCAGTAAATGACCGCATTGATCATGTTTTCTCTATAAAAACAACCTCAAACGCATATGTTTGGGAAAAGAACAACTTTTTCCTCTTACGATCAAACAATACAACATACTTTTTCTTTTACAATTTTGCAAGGCTTTTTACTATTTTATTCTTTCCAAAGTTCATTCGCTTTACTTAGTTTCTTGGTTACTTCCCTTTTAAATTCCATATTTTCATTTGTTGATTTTAGAGGTTTTCTCCACAAATATACTTAAAGACAATCGAGTGTGAATCCTACATCCACAACCGGCGGCGCCAAAATGTGGATATAGGATTCACACTCGATTGTCTTTAAGTATTTTAGTGGAGAAAAACTCTTGTAAATTTAGGAAATGAATATAAGAATTCGAAATAGAAAATAACCAAGAAACTAAGTAAAGAAATTTGATAAGAATAAGACACAAAAAGCTTTACGAAAGTGATAAAGAGAATAATGTATTGTATTGCTTAGAAGTAATGAGTAATGAAATCTGTTCCTCCCAAACACATGCGTTTGAAGTTGTTTTTATAGAGAAAACATGATTAATGCGACCATTTACTGCTCATAATCGCGTTGATACACATTAATCATGTAAGTTACAATTTGACCGAAACGGCTTTAATTTGAATTATCTTGGACTTCGCGTGGACCTTCCGAACTCTTTCTTGTTGACTCCGAACTCTCGCATCTTGACGCTGCCGCAAGCCTCGATCAATATTCTCCTCGCTTTGGCTTTTCTCTATGCGAACTGTATGTTAAATAAGAGCGAACTCCGTACTGGTAAAGATCGAACTCTTTTAGTAGACTGAATCGAACTCTCGACTGGTTAAGTACGATTCTTATAATAAAATATCTTTAATTCCAAGAGGATTATTATGTAATAATGACGTGGACAGATTCAAGTGGATCCTACCGAAAATGTGTGGGATCCGACCCCAACAACTTCCTAAAACATCATAAAACAATAACAAATATGGGCGAAAATCCCATGTTATCACTAGGTATGCCTTGGATATGCCAAGTAGTTCAGATGAACTATTAGTCCAACTTTTAAATAATTATTTACATACTAGTCCAACTGCAAACAAGAAAAACAGTTAAAAGTCCATTTATGAGTCTCCTAGTACAATTGGACAACTATGAGTATATAAGCCGCCAAAATTAAATATTTAGCTCGGGTTCCACATGTTCAGTAAGTACAGCTGCCAAGTAAAATTTATCTAAAATAATTATAATTTTAAAATATTTCTTTTTAAAACATAGATCTAGGGTTTTCGCCTCAACTCTCGAGTTTTCTCTCTCTCTCTCTTTCTCGAGTTTTCCTCTTTCTCTGAGAATTCTCTTTCTCTTTCATTTACGATTTCCGGCGGCGAGCAAGTGTTATCCGGCGAACGACTGCTATCTACTCTTTCCGGTTCGACATCACAAGGTAAGTGCGGCGACTTGATTTGTTACGGGTTTTTGATTTCAATTTCGTAGATCTAGGGTTACGGGTTTTTGATTTCAATTTCGTAGATCTAGGGTACAAGTTTTTGATTTCTAATTCCTAGATCTAGGGTTACGGGTTTTTGATTTCAAATTCCTAGATCTAGGGTTTGTCGATTCGTGTTTTGTTTTTAAATTTCCGATTCTTCTTGATTTTCTGCAGTGAGAATGTCAATCAGTTATACTCAAAGCTCCGAATCAGAACCGAGTGAGGATATGAACTGGGCAAGAGATTACGGTAATTGGGGTATTCCGAGATATTGTTTATATGGAATCTACGTTAAGCTTGTTGTGTGTACCACTGGCAATAATCAAGGAAGAAAGGAATACAAATGTTCAAATTCTGAGGTATGATGAGAATTTTTGTAATTATAGTGATGAGTAATTTTGATTTTCAAAGTGTTTTAATGCTGATGATTATGCTTAGGATGGTGGAGAACACCTGCAAAAGTGGTGGGATGATGTGGTTAATGAGGAGTTTACTGTCGTCCATAACAAATTTGAAACCCAGAAAGAATCAATCCACCACGCTTACCAAAATCCTATGTTGGAGTCAATTCGCGAGTCTGTTCGAATCATGCGTGCTCAACTCGATGATCTTGAGAAGCGTTTGGAGGAGAAAGAAACTGAGATTGGCAAGCTTAGGTAGTTGTTGTATGATTATGTATTTCTCTAAATATTGGTAGACTTCTAAAGTTTCTAATTTCCCTATGTAGACTAATTAACTAAAATTGCATGTGTTTCAAAAATTGTATGTTTTATTCTTAAATTGATTGGTCTATGTTTTATTTCGTAAATTAGTTTTTGTTTTCACCAAATTCAAAAACAGTTGTACCATGAATACCAGGCAGTTGTACCATGAATACCAGACAGTTGTACCATCAATACCAAAGCAGTTGTACCATCAATACCTAGTTGTACCATACACACTTGTACCAAATACTTTCTACCATCACTTAAATAGTTTCAAATTACCAAAATATTATATTAAGTACTTAACAAAATAATTCTAATAGTACCAAACACAAACTTGTTCAAAAAACAAAATAATATTATAGTTTTCCCTACTTAACCAACAACACCAGACACCATCATTACTTCTTTCTCCTTCTCTTCGGCTGCACACTACAAGAAAACTTACGTTTTGCGATGGAACACCAGACACCATCGCTTCTCGCAAATTACCAAACGTTGCAATTCCCTCGCAAAATTTGCGAGAAACAGATTTCCCGCAAAATACGCGCAAATTGCGAGGAAACAGGACTGTAGCAAAACTCTTGCAAATTATAATAGTAGTACTTCCCTCGCAGGTTTTGCGACGAAATTGCTAGGCTCATAATGACTTCTAGCAATTCCCTAGCAAAATTTGCTATGGATTTGCAAGTCAATTGCAACTCAGTTCAGCAATGTGTGTATTTTCATAAATACTGTTCAAATTACATAATTACTGTTATTATTAGAATGTAATTACTTATTTAATTTGATGAAAATGAAATAAAAATCAAATTTGAATTATCCAAATGTAGAAAGCATAGTAGGCTTAAACTTATGATTACAAAACATTAAAATTGTCTTAGTCTTAAAGAGAAACCAATTAACATATCTAATTAAAAGGTTTCTGTTGGAGAGGATCTTGATCCGTTACCGGTCACAAGACCTGTAGTTCCGGTCATAGCAGCATCACCTTCCTTCTCACCAGGTCCCGTCGCGTTGTTCACCGCAGTTCTGGTCGCATTGGTGTTGGTGTTGTCTGGTTGGCTTCCTGCTCAAAACTTTGCTGCAAGCTTCAGCCACAGCAAGCTTCTGAGAAAGATCAACCGGATCATCACGAGGAGGCGGTGGACCAGTAGCAACAGAAGATGCTTCATGCTGTAGAGAACCAATCCTATAAGTAGCACCAGAAGTTATACTCTTTTTATTCTCCCCTGAGTTTCCGTCTGAGGCAATGAAGCATGGAGATTACCTTGAATCGCAGAGGTGTTCCCTACAATGACAGGTGCAGTTCGACCATTCTGTGAAAGGTATTTTGAGTAATCGTTTCCAGAATGTGAAGACATCTTGCAAGAAATCAAAAGGTTAAGTTAGTAAGTAGAAAAATGGAATTAAGTAAATTTCAAACAATCCTAAAATACTAAATTGAGAAAGTACAACACAAATAAACACTAAATTTGGATCTAAAATTTAGGGTTTCAAAACAAAAATCGCAGCAGATTGAAAAACAAATTATCGAACTATCCTAGAATTATTTCTAAAATCATGTGTTTTCCAAAAAAAAAATAAGACATCGAATTTTACATCTAAAATCAAGGGTTTCGAACAAAAATTACTGAGAATGAAAAACGAATTCTCGAACAAACTCAAGAGCTATTTGCAAAATCATGCGTTTAAAACAAAAAAAACGAGACCCGAAAATATTACCTGTCACAAATAGCAGATCTAGGGGAGTCTAACCAAGATCTTGGTACGACAGATGGGGATGAAGATTCCAGAGATTATTGTCAGTTGAACGGAAAAGAAGAGGAGACGAAGCTAAAAGGAGAAGAAGATAGATTGAATAAGCATATAGAGACGTAGGAGAAGACAGATCGGAGAAGAAGTTATATCGTAGAAGAGATAGATCGGAGAAGAAGAAGAAGAAAATTGAACCAGAGAAGAAGTAGCAAATTAGGGTTTTGTGACTTTGTCTAAAGCGGCAGCTCAAACCTAGGATGTCGATATATATATATATATATAACTAAGAAATGTCGTAAGTCCCTCGCAAAGTTTGCTAGGGATCTGCGAGTAGGAGTAGTAAATCCCTCGCAAAAAAACTAAAACTTATTAAAAGTCCTCGATATTTAGATGTGAATATTAACTATCATCATATAGTTTTGTCCGATTAAATCTCATTAGAAGTCTTGTAACTCATTTTTTCAACAACAATTTGTCTCTTTCTAATGGAAATTGGTGATGATGCTACCTTCTAAAAGACCCACGAGCACATTAAGATGAGTATTACATGTTCGGTGAAGAATTTTTTTTTTTCCTATAACAAATAATATAATTCGCAGTACAAAGACTATATACTACACTTTACCATTCTTTTTCTTTTTAATCTTAACAGAAGCTTTAGAGTTAATTCCTCTTTTAATTTTATTGTGATTTTATTATACGAAAACCAGTTGTCTAGTTAACTTGTCTTGTTATTCAATTAAATATATTCCGAATTAAGTTATCTAACTATAGAAATATAAATTAAATTAATGAAAACGAGCTCAAAAGTTAATAATGTTATACAATCTGCTTAATGTAAATGTACATTCAATAATCAAATTATTATTACATACATGCTACAACACAGTGCATTTTCAACTTGTTACATACAGTAAAATCATGAATAAGCTCAGTAACAAAGAAATATATAACTATAATTTTTACATCAATATTCCTCATTTTTATATATTTGTTTCACCAATTTTTCATTGAAAACAAAACTCACAAACAAAACTATATTTTCACCAATTTTTTGTTGCAAAATCCCGTAGAATTCACTTTCACCTTCGACGTGGATTCCATAATTTGTTGTTGCCCTTCGACTTCCATGTTGAAATGTATGGAAGGTATAACCGCGAGTAAAGTACATCAGCTCAGTAGTGATATTTGATCTTGGATGCAACCAAAGTGGTAAAGGTTCATTTCCACATCCGTTAGTAACTAAAAATTTATAGGGATTTGCTATTTATAAGCATACTAAAAATTTTGTTATTTATAAGCATACTAAAAATTTTGCAAGGGATTTACTTGGGAGTCCAGATTTTAGTGTCCTCCCAAATTGCCCGCAAATCCCTCGCAAATTTGTGAGGGAAAAGCACGTCGCAAATTTGCGAGGGATTTGCGAGGACGTACTCCCTCCTAGCAAATTACTCGCAATACCTTCGCAATTTTGCGAGGGATTTTTTCCGTCGCAGTTGTTTCTCGCAAAACGACTGTTTTCTTGTAGTGGCACTTCCACAAATGGTGTCTTAATATGTTGGGAAGCTGCCCTTGTTCGCTTATGTCCGGTTGCTATTACAGGTCCACCCTCTTGCGGCTTGCTCTTCTTTGTCTTCTTGCCCTTCTTCTTCTCTTTTCCATTCATCTCTTCCTCATTCTTTTTCTCCTCCTCATCACCTTCATACAATGTACAAAGAAAACAGTTTATTAGTCCACTTTAAAAGTTCAATAAATAACCAAGAAACTTCTACAATCACCTTGTTCCGGAATAGTTGGAGAAATGGGATTATACAAAACCAATTCCATGGTTTGACTCGGCTGCCCACCCTCAAAATCAGTTCTTGACCCATATGTGTTTCCAGAGGCGACCCATATGGCGAATACTGAGGACTATGATATCCCTGAGCTGCCACAAACACTCCAAGAGTCTTCACTCTATTCTCCATGTCCCTAAACTTCTCCTGCATGAAAGCCATTGTTTACCACCTCTAGTAGTGAGGTAATAGATGCAACAACTTTAGCAATATCAGAACTCTCTTTCTCAGGGACTTCTTGCTCAGGGACTTCTTGCTCAGGGTCTTCATTCTCAAGAAACTTATTTCCAATCCCTCGGGACGCCTGGTCCAGCTGGTACATTCCTTCCCACCATATTTTTTTCTTATTTTCTACTAGACGATCTCTCCAACTGTCAACAATGATATCAATATGCCCTAGGCCATAATCAACATTATCTTCAATGATTCCAGCCAACAGAGATTTCTCATATTGGTCTGGTACCAAGATGATGTCAATATCCTGTGAATACACATACATTTAACTTAGACTCTTGATCAAATACATGACACAAACCAAATAATCAAATGAAGACATAAACTCTAACCTTGCTAGTCCCAAGCTCTTGATATATTTCTTCCGAAGGGGTACCTTTCATGGCAGATTCTTTAAACTTGTGCTTGCACATCCTTGGACAGTCATTTGCTGCACGTACAGGTACTCTATATTTCAGTCCAAGATGTGGAATAGAATCATAAACCAGAATCTACAAAAAAACACACACAATTAATATCATAAAACCATATATACAACTTCAAATACTCAGACATCAAAAATAAAGGCTTACCTCCAGAGGTACAATGAATCCACTAAAGCTAGGTTGAGCTTTAGGTTTGACATATCCATTCAAATTCTTCATCATATTCCGGATCCCTTTCATACATTCTAAGAATGAATACCGACCCCATGGGAATGTCTCACATGCATCCAAATCATCAACAATCCATAAAAGTAGGCATGGGCATTCGGATTTCAAATCGGATTCGGATCGGATATATTCGGATTCGGATAATTCGGGTATGAGAGTTTATTATCCGTTCGGATTTTATGATTTTTCGGTTCGGTTTCGGTTCGGATATATTCGGATTCGGATAATTTGGGTAGGAGAATTTATTATCCGTTCGGATTTTATGAGTCATCGGTTCGGTTTTGGTTCGGATAGGTGTCGGATTCGGATCGGTTTTCGGGAAAAAAAACTTAAAAATAGTTCAATCTTAATAAAAATTGGTTTAATCTTACTAAAATTTGGTTAAATTTTGCAAAAATATGTATAATTTTAACAAATATAACTAAATTTTTTCCCAAATCTAGGATATTTAGGATATTTTTGTTATTTACTATAAAATTACAACTAAATATAACTAATATTTTTGGATATATAATTTTTATTTCCAGTTTTCGGATATCCTTTCGGTTTTCGGTTCGGATCGGGTTCGGTTCGGGTAATTCGGATAGGAGAATTCATTATCCGTTCGGATTTTGTGACTATTCGGTTTGGGTTCGGTTCCGGATTTTTCGGATCGGTTTCGGATCGGTATTCGGATTTCGGGTTTTATGCCCAGGCCTACTTAAAAGAAAGGATTCTATGTTTCCATCACTTTTTTAGCTTGCTTTTACTACCTTGCATAGGAAATACAAGACTAGTAACTTCTTCTTATCAGCTCCTTTCCAACTCTTCTTTTCCTTCAACTTAGCTAATACATCAGATGCCTTTATCTTCTCAGTCCTTTTGAACATTCTCTTCACAAACTTCTCATTTCCCATTTTCTCATGGTTCTCCGGGTATTCCTTGCAATTAAACCCAGTTAGCAACACATGCTCTTTGATGGAGTACCAAATAGGTACTCCATTAACCACAAACCAGCACTCCCTCTTAGAATCTGTCTCAACTGTGCGCAGCATAAGCATCCACATGCCTTGAGTCATGTGGTTTGGCTCCTTAGGCATGTGGAATACATGCTTGAACTGAGGGTGACTTCTGAACCATCTTGCTTCCTCTTTAAACTCTCTCTCTATCCACTGCACTGTCTCAGTGACCTTACACCTAGTTCCTATTTTACACCCTTTGGTGTATTCTGAACTATCTAAAAACATCTTCTCTGGCGGCAGTGGCTGATCTTCACCATCATTAGAATCATCATCAGCTGTTATACCATCAACCTCCTTACTAGCAGCCTCATCCTCCTTACCAACATCCTCTTCAGCCTCTAAAACATCATCACCATCATCACCAAAATCATGAGTTCTATCTTCAGAATCATTACCTTTATTCTCAACATCATCATCGCCCTTAAGAGCATCAGAAGCCTCAGCATCCTTATACCAGCATCATCATGTGCAGCCTCACCAGCTTCATCGTCTTTATCAGCAGTCTTTATACCAGCATCATCCTCGGCCTCAAATGTATCCTGCATATTAAAAACACAATCGCTGAGTTTAAGTAGTTGAACTAGTTATATCAAAACACACAATTCAAACATATATATAATCGGGAGAAGTTAAACTAGTTGTATCAAAACACATAAATTCAAACCTATATATACTCCGATTCAATTATACCAAGAAATAAATTCAAAACTATATATACTCATATTCAAAGACAACCTAATTCAGTAGTTGAACTAGTTGTATTAAGACTTTCCTAATCCATTCTCAAATTAATGTATACCTGAGCATTAACGTTCTCTTCCTCTTCCTCTGATGCATCCACGAGTTCCTCCTCTGCAGCCTCGGAAGCATCAACTGCTGCTTCTTCTGTCGGATCAGTTTGCATCCCGACGGTTTCACTTCCAGGGTCAGCATCCTCTGGTTCTCTCGGTTCTCCGGTTTCTTCTGTAGGGTCGACCACGGTACTTGTATCCGCTGGTTCTCTCGGATGCGCCGCCGTAGATTCATATTCACCTAAAGCATTTCTAACACGAGCCATATCAAAATTCCCCAGATTTTCAACAGCGGTGCAAAATTCGACTGCGACGGAGAGAAGGGAGAAGAAATAGAAGAAATAGAAGAAATAGGAGAAGAAATTGGAGAGAAATCGGAGAAGAAATCGGAGAAGTTGTCTCTAGGGTTTTGAAAAGGGGGGGAAATCGGAGAAAAATGAAACGCTTAAGTCTTTCTTTTGTTTTCAACTCATTTCTCTCTTTGTTGGGCCCAATTCTCGGATGGGCTTGGACGAAAATTAGTAGGCTTGGGTCGGATAAACGGAAACGGGTCAAACGAATGAGATCTTGGATCTTGCGGCTTGGGGTTTCCGTCATTTCATATTTAAGGGATTAAATACCTTTAAATTTAATTCAACAAATTAAACAAAAAAACTTGGGTGGCATTCCAGCCTTTTTTCCCAAAAAATGCCTTTCCAGCCATTGTTTCATATTTAGGTCTGGTCTGATTTTAATTTTAGTTTCATTTTGGGATTTTTGAAGCTTTCATATAAGCAAATTTCTTCTGTCAAAGCATATTTGAATTTGAATTATCGTTACATAAACAAAAATTGTTGGAATAATTATGAACAAAA